AAAAAAAACTATTAGCGGCTCTAATTCTAATCAAAACCAGTCAACAAGAAAAAGCAAAGAATAGTAAAAAAATCTTTGTCGTTTTAATTACCTGAAATAAAGGCAAAACAATTTTACCAAAGGAAAGGCAGAGAAGAGATTTTGCCAATTATCCTTAAAAAAATTAACCATTAAGAGTAGGATGTCCTTCGTTAACCGGAATCGAAGTCGTTCGCTTAGCCGATAAATCAAAAATAATCCGCTCATAAAGAGTCATGGGTCTAATCTCTTTATCTTCTTTCTTTAATTCAATAATACCCATTCTTGCTAGTATTCTACAATCCCTCCACACATTGCCGTAATCTTTATTAATAATTGAGCCAACTCAGTCAAAGATTTAGGCTTTTTGGTTACAAGAGTATTAAATATCTCTCAGCGGTTCTTATTAATGCTATCCAGGAGTACTTAAATATGTGGGGAACTAATTTGGTGGGGTTTGACTAAACTTTGCTTGCCATCTACTGCCTGCCAAAAATCAGCAAACATCCCCTCCGGAGTAAGATCGGGATCATATTTAAAAGCGAATATTTTAGTTTTGTCCATATCGCTTCTATTTGAAATTATTTTAATTTAGTTTTCCATATTATTTGGCACGAATTAAAAAATAGCCAAGTTTCTTTTCCACTTTTTCAAAGAATAAGGCTTGAGCCTCTTCTCGTGAAGTTCAAGTAAAAAAAGTAAATTTTCTTGGCTATCAATAATGATAAAAATTCTGGAGGGTACTTTGAAGCATGTGGAAGAAGAGAAACTAGATCAGACTACTAAAGGAGAGGTTGAAGGATATGAGTGAGTGGATCAGGAAGTGATTAAGTTAATGGAAGAAAAACAAGAGTGAGAATTATTACTAATCAAGTTGCAAGATAAATTGGATGATTTGTCGCGATATCGTAGGTAATAAGTTTTCGGGTTGAGTGTGATGTTGTAAAGAATAAATATAAAACTATATTAATGATGACAAATTAATCAGAGAAGGATGACCAGTAAACGAACAAAGCAAATAATAAATAATACAAATAATATATGGAGACAGAAATAATAACGAAATAAAAGGAGTGCTAAATAAGAAAAATAAAAACAATTAAGGAACTTATGAGGTATTCCAAACGACAATAATATGTAAATTT